TAATCCTGCTCGATCGGACGTCTGGGGCCGCGATAAGGGAAGATTAGGCGGGGCGGATGGGGGCGAGGTAAACGCAAAATACCGTAAATTTATCCGTGATACGATCTCTGGATGGTGCACCGGATGGTGGGAAGATAGCGGTCCCCTGTCTAGTCATCTATCCGTCCGTCCGGTCTGGCACCGATAGCACCGCTCGTGTCGTGTCAGAATTCGCAACAGGTGGACCGAGTCGTCTCGTCTCGTCTCGTCTCGTCTCTGCCACCGCTTGAACCGACTGTTGCGACTCGTCCGCCGACGATTATGCGATTTCATGAATCGGTGATGCTTCCCACGGGACGGACGACTTGCACCACGATGGGACGTAACGATGCAACGAGGATTTCGAGGGTTCCCCTATTCAGATAGTTTTATGGATGGTAGCCTCGTGGAATTTACACGCGAACGATTGTTTACGGCGGAACAAGATTGTGCACCACTTTTGGAGAGGTGTGGGAGTGGAATTTTTGTTTCATCGCTCTCGTGTTGACGGTGATGATTTAGATTTTTGGATCGTTATTAATTATCGATCATCTTTTTAGAGGTGGAATTTGGTTTTTTTCTTTTTGAAAAATGGATCGTCGTGAGTGAGATAACTGCGATGAATTTGATACGTGCAAAAAGTGGATTTCTTGAAAAATGAATAATCGTTGAGAACAGTAGTGTGTGATCCTTGAAACGATTATATTTTTCTTATAAAGTAAACGTCTGGATCGTCACTGAAATAACAGCGATGATCTTGTGATGATATTTTTTTTTTTTAAATAAAATATCGTTTCAAAGATCTGCATACGATTGAAAATTGCAGTGAGTCAAGGTTTCCAATGTTGTTTCAAGGGAAAAAAATCTTCGTCCATATCTCAAGGGAATTACTTTTTTAGGTGATTACTCGAAACTGTGATCTAGAAAGAATCTTTCGTTAATATAGTACATAGATTTTTCTGTATATTAAATGAATTAGAGATTTTAACATTACTTTCTTTCCTTGTTCCATAAATTTTGATAATTTTATACAAATATTTATAAAACTTACTTATGATTATATTCGTACATATATTAACTTTATATTTGTGAGAGAAAATTTTATTGATTATCTTCGAGTTTGAAAAACAAAATTTTACAAAAATAAAAAAAAAAAGGAATCGATTATTATCCGGGAAATAGAAAATACTCGACGAATTTGTTGATTTTCTTTTCATCAATTTTCCTAAAAATATTTCCTGCGATATTTTTTTGCATTTTAATTTTAATCGATCCACGCGTACGCGTACGCAACGTGTTCGACATTCCATCACACGCACACAACCAATCGAATGGCTCCCTTCCATCTTTCCATTTATAAATTGAAAAAAACCGGACAATATTTGGTTGCTTGTGATCCGTTGCAGGAATAGCAACGTTATTCGCAATTGCGCCTGAGTGCTTGGTCCGCTTTCAAGTTAATTGCTCGACTGTATTTTCTAAATTAAAGTCGTAGCTGCACCTTCACGGCTGCTCGTTATCGAGGGATTTTACACGAAACTCTTGTCACGCGACAAGATGTTTCCTTACGGCTGCCTCTCTCCCTTTTTAACCCCCTCCTCCTCCCTCAACTTATCTTTCCTTCAACTGTTTTCTCGCGCGAGCCGGTATGCAAATTTTGTTACTCGAGTTTTGCGAAGGGATGTTTTTAAACGTCGCCGTTAAATATAATTCGCCTTAAATTGTTTTCCTTTTTTTTTAGGAACGTTTATTGCGTTTCAAAAAAATGAAATGTTTACATTATTAATGGGACACTTTCTCTTTTTAAATTTTTCGTTACCATCGTGGAAAAAGGCGCACGATCTTTGAAAAGAAAGTTTTGAATTAATCGAATAAAAGAATGAAAATGTTTAATAAATAAAGATATCTTTTATGCTAAATTAAAATTGAAACATAATATATATAATGATAGGGAAAGGTTTAAAAATTATTGGTAAAGTTTTATTATGCATTCTTTCGATGTTCAATCTTTAACGAGTTAATATTATGTAAATCAACATATTATTGTTTGTTTAAGTTAAATAATGGTTCGCGTGTCGGCAAGTAAATAATTTACACAGCAAATGGAAGATATCGAAAAAAAAAAAAAAGAAAAAATTATCAATTTCGATGATGCGAATATTGATAATTTATCTTGTCAACTTTCGTTTTAATCTTTCAATTGTATAGGATATTATTTTTGTTTCAATGAAAAGTCAATTTTACGTTTTTATACAAATTTTCCAATCTACGTATACGCTCGAAATTATAGATAGATTCATCGAATTTTTCTATGGAATTACTTATCATTACCGAATCATTCAAGAATCAATTTTGTATCATCGATGAATATTGATTTGATAAATTTTATCGTATCATCGATGAATATTAACCGTGCCGATGAATATCGACGATTTAAATATTTATTGAATAATTTAAACGTGCAATCGAAAATATCATTTGCATGGATACGTGGATTTCGAGGGAAAACGTCTCACGAGCGATTAACACATGGTGAATAAAATTTGAATAAATAACGATGGAAAAAGTCGAAAAGTGAAGATTGTGTCGCGATTATTTAATTTCTGATATATTTATACATGAGTCGAATTGATATAACAAGCGATTAATTTGTAATTTTAAAAGGAGTTGCATTCGTATGCTACGTGTATAAAATTACAGCTACTGCGCGAATCCATTGATATTGATGAATATCTATTCTCACGTTTGCTCGCTTGTGAATACGTTTCCTAACTAGATCTCAGTCGAAGGCGTTTGTATCGTGCTCGAGGAACGTTTCATGTTGCTAATAATGTCGATGATTCTGTTTACGTTGCCAGTAATGTTTGAAACGTTAGCTTGCAGCAAGCCAATTTTGCTTAAAATAATTATAGCGATGAAACGAGAATTATCCTTTCCTAATTCTAAAATTGGATAAATATTAAAAAGAAGAGAAAAAAGTGTTTCAGTTATTCTAAAAATTCTTTTTAAAGGAGACTTTGTTTCAATTTTCACTGAAAATAAGGATTATCTTTTCCATTAAATTATTCCATTGAATTTTTTTTTAAATTATGGAGCAATAGCATTCGAACTTTCTTTTAAAAATTTTCTTTAAAGAAAACTCAGATTTTATCGAGTCTCGAAACCGCGCCTATTGTCCTTGAAACGAGAAAAACATTAATCTTTGAAAGCTCCTCTTTAATCGAGAGGATCGTTTGCAAAGGTAATCAGCTTTGAAAGTCGATCCGTTTCCTAATCGTGGTCGCAAAAAGGGTTGGAGCCATTTAGGCTTTTTCTTATTTTCGAATGGAGGAGGATCGATATCGAGCAACTGAATTCGTAATCCACGCAATAACGACGTGTTTTGCTGGTAATTCGAAAGTTTCGAACAAGATATAAAGTTTCCACGTCTCTCTGAAGGAAATAACAAACGATTAATTTGATTGTAGAGTTGGCAAAGTTTGAAAATTTTATTCGACGTAACGAATTTGTGACGCAACGAAGAAAGAATGGAACGCGAGAAACGAATCGTTTCAAATTATTATCAATTTTTTATTTTGTATATCGATATTACTATTTTCCACGAGAAATTGGCGAGATATAAAACACGAGAAAGATGTTTTTAATAATCAAAATGATTCCCCAGTTTGAACAAACGAAAAGTTTTTAAATTGCAACAATTTACAAAGATTGAAACTGTGCGATTTTCGCTTTTTAAAATGTAGAGATGGGATTCATTTTCCGCGATAGAATTACACTTTTTTAACGATGTAGAAAAAGAGGAAAAAGTTTAAAAAACGTATCAAAATTAAAAGAAAAATTCTATTCTCCATATCTTGTAATTTAATTATTTTCAACGTTTATTTCATTCTTTTGAAATAATTTGCAATCACAAATTACTTCCTTATACCTTATACCTATTTAAAAAAATGATAATACAATTTATGAACGCGTTCAATTATGATACGTTCATAAATTTGTTCATCCACCGACAAATATTTATTTACTTATCAAACGAAAATAGAAGAAACGAAACAATCGTTTCAAAGGTATCGTGAAAATTGAAAACTGTATCAAATTTATCGAATATTCTTATCGCGTGCTCAACAATTATTACAATCAATTATTCCTCCATGGATACAAACTCCAATAACCTCTCTTTACATCTCTTTCTCCTTTTTCTTAATTATTTCATTTCGACGTAAAAAAAATCAGTCGCTTTCCATCAATCTCTCATTAAAAAACTCGTTGCCGCGAAATCTTATTCAAAAGAAGATTGTTTTTATCTATCAAATAGAACGTAGGATATAACAATCGATTATATTTTTCAAGTTTGGTCACAACATTTCCGTTCGTGTTTCATCCACGCACGAATAACTAACTACATTCTCCCTCCTTTCTCTCTCGATCGAGTATTCAATTAATTTGAATCAAAGCGCTACGATTAAATTAACCTCGCGGATCAATCCTCTTTCCCCTCCCTCTTTCCTCCTTCCTTCCTTCCTTCCTTCCTTCCTTTCTTTCTTTCTTTCTTTCTTTCTCGTTCTCCGATTACTCGTATGAAAACGCTTCGTATTCTCCGCGTGTTTTCAATGGACGCGCGCGCCTCCATTGAAATTAACCAGGTTTCGTTTCGTTGAAAGGTATCGGGAAGAACCGTTGAAGCGTTTGAAAAAAAAAAAAATTCGAGCGAGTCATGCGTTATTTTTATTCCAGTGTCTAAACACTGGCCGTGGAAACGAGGGAAAAAAAAAAAAAAAAAAAAAAAAAAAGTCGTAGAAATTGAGAGCAAACGAGCAAAATGCTGTTACTTGCTTTTATTTTTACGTAGAATATATATATATATATATATATATATTGTTTTTATCATTTACATAGGAGAAAGGGAAAAGTCGAGATGAATTTTATTTTTTGTAATACAGTTATTGTTTATAGTGATGAAGGATAACGTTTCGATGTTTCAGGTAGTACCCCAGACTTATTGCCAACCCTTCTTCTAATACACGGTGATTCCTATTCGTGGGGCGCTGGAAATTCCTTCGACGGCACTGCGTTGGCTGCTTACGGTCGTCTTATCGTCGTTTCTATTAATTTTCGTCTCGGCGTACTCGGTGAGTATCATATTGTAAAAAGGATAAAAATTTCATCCCATTCGAAACTTTATAGTGTACAATTATTTCTATCGAACTCGATTCGACTCAAATTCAACCTTTACAAGCGAAACGATTATCAAAGGAATTAAGCGCCGCATAAAGAAGCTAAGAGATAACGCGTTCAATCTCGAACAGAGATGTTTATTTTAAAAAAATTGCAATCCATCTATCTAAGTTTGATTTCGACCGGTCGCTCGACGGTGATATAAATAAACGGTTGATTTGAGAAAAAGCGAACGATGGAAAATTGAATAAGGGTCAGAATTTCAGAATAGGTTGAAGTTAAATTTACTTTGCATAATAAAATTTAAAATAATAAAATTTCAACCGATAAATTTTTTGAGTAAGTGGCCAACTCCGTTTCTGTGTTCATTTAATAAAAGTAAACCGATCTAAATCGCAAGCTAAGATTTTTTTACAGGCAAGATGCATTCCCGTTCGAGAAAACTGTTGCTCCGCAACACAACGTTAAGTTGTTAACGTTAAATACGAGGATACATGGAGGATGAATAAAAGCGAGATTACAAACGCCGGGTCTCTTATATTCGAATAAAGTCTTCTGAAACTTCTCCCTCGTTACGCTTGATTTTGTTCCTTTCTCGAAACTACGACGTTCTCGTTTGTCTTATTTCCTTCTACCACCACCACCACCACCACCACTGCTAGCTCGAGTAGGCAACCAGCGGACTTCTTTCCCAACTTATATTAAATCCGTAACAATGCTTTCAACTTGGAAGTCGGTCACCGGCCAGTATATGTTCTCGCCGGGGGTTTGAAATCGCTAATCGATGCAGAACAACTTCTTTCCCTTCCCCCTCCCGCTTCCTGTATTCTTTCTGGAAAGAAAAAAAAGGAAAGAAAAGGAAGAAAGGAAGAAAGGAAAAAATAGGAGAAGGAATACAGCCGGCTGGAATAATAACTTTTTCTAACTCGGTTTTCCCCAAGTTTCCAGTCGGGTTTCAATAGTTTCAATGGTTACTTATTCCGATAACGTATTTCCACCATTTTTTTCTTTTTTTTTTCCCTCCCCCTTTCAGTTGAAGAATCGATACTGCTTCGTCGTGCTATATAATAATAATCGAACTATCAACTATGTTTAAAATTGAAACCAAAGATCGAAAGATAAACAGTCTCTTCAGTCGAGCGAGAAGAGGATGGTCGAATCGAACCTCTTTGTTTTCTTTCCTCTTTTTTTTCTTTTTCGAAAAGAGATCGATCGTTGCAAGAAAGAGTAGTTTATCGATCGAGAACTCGAAGAATACGTCGTTTCGTGCAACTTGGACGTGTTTTCTGTTAAATAAAGTCGATACCTGATATGATAAATCGAAGGGGATGACAGAAAGGTAGACATTTTTCTTCGCAAGAAATTCTGATGGTGGTTCTTGATTTTCTTCTCTTTTTCAGAAAGCGCGTTAATTGGCTAAAAGCTTGACCGATCAGTGCTCGTAGAAAATGTGACGACTTTCCACGCATTTTTAGACGCATTTTCTCTCACTTCTGAAAAATGGACTCGTACGAAGTTTTTGGATTTTTTTGGAAAAATTCCTTCGGATTCGAGGCATCCAGTGTCATTACAATATCGCAAAATGACGATTCAGAAATATTGAATTCATGTCCTCGACTGTAACAAAAGTAACAAAAAGGCTAAGAAACTTCAAGACTTCTGTTCAAAAGTAAGACGAAAACAAGGCGATACGTTGCAATATTTTCTCCTCGCTCGATTATCATTGCACGAAATTTGCGCAAATAGTGAACGCTGTATTCAAAAATTTTTTTTTTATATCTCTTCAAATTCCTTCGAAAAGATCGTTTCGTTTAAGGGAGAAGGAAGATTCTTCCCGTGGAACAAAATTAAACTTCTAGTTATCCACGGTCAACACGTTTTCAAAGCGGTTTCTACGAACCGATACAAAAGTTTCCTCCTCTTGAAAAACAAGAGGATGCTGAAACTTTTTTGCTCGTCTCGACGAGTGTCCCGGAATTTAGATAGCTTTTTTTTTTTTTTTTTTTCTAACTTTTCTTTCGTCGACCCTTTCATCCTCTCAATGACAATTGAACATTTGCAAAAGCAAATGAAATAATGCGATATATAATTTTAAGAGACAGGCAGGCAATTTTATCCGTAGAAAAATTGTATTATTTTCTTTTTTTTTTTTCAAAGTTCTTTACGGCCACGTTTTAAAATCTCTTCATTTGTACGTATTCTCATCTGACAATGACTTTTTCTTTTTATCGCTTCTTTTTTTTTTTTTTTTATTTTTCCGGCTTCCCTGATTGCATTTTTCTGTCTTTGTACCTTCTCTCTTTTCTCTTTTTCTTTTTTTTCACTTTTATGTCTTCCTGCGCTCCTCACTGTTTTTCTTCCCTCCGTTTCCCCCTCTCTTTCTTATTTTTTCGCCGTATTTTCCTCCGCATACACATCTAGCTCCAGAACTAGAGGAAATTTATCACTATCCTTTTTCATCCCCTTCGCTTTTAATCCCATTCGTACGTGCAATTTTCATTTCACATTTTTCGCATAAGCATATATTTTTTTTCCCTTAGAAAAATACATATATTTTATAACCGCAATATTTTATACAGTGCAGCAAATGAACGTTCAAATTCAAATTCAGCGACAAAATTATTACAATCCCGATGAGATTTATAAATATATCCGACGTGTAACCGTAGACGTGACAAAATAAAAAAATTTACTTTCAGAAATATTTAGATACAAATATTTCTTCCAAAATATGGAAAAAAAAAAGAAATTGGATCCTCCTTCTTCGTCCCCTCTGAATTTTCATTAAAAATACACGCATGAGGAGAAGACGTATTATATATGGCGACTGTGTGCGATTTCCCAATTCGAGGCCCGAAGCGAACCTCGAGTCCTCCTCCTCTTCCTCCTCCTCCTCCTCCTCTTTCTCCTCTTCCTCTTCCGACGACGACGGACGACGAGGAGGACAGACGTCTGGGCCCTCGAAGCTGGACGGCTTTAACCGTCGGTTAATCATCGTGTGAATATTTCACCGAGCAATTTTCCTCTTGAATAACGTTCAAAGGGAGATCCAGCGGAGCTTGTTATCGTCTATTCGCGCGTACCCCGGCGTATCCCGTCAACGATCTACTCTTTTTTCAAACTTTTTGATCGAAATTGTGTGGGGATCGTCGCCTTGGATGAAACGCAACGAAACAAACGAGGGAACGAATTTGTTCGCGATCGACAATCTCGATATTGCGAGTCGCGATAAAGATTGAAATTTTCGATCTCTCGAAAATATGAAGATTTAATTTACAGATTTTTTTTAACAAAAATTTGACGTACGATGGTATAATGAAATACGAGTGGAGGGATTTTTTTATCGATAAGAAATTTCTTCGAGGGGATATTTGTATTCGTGGATCTTTAGAAAGTAGAGATATCATGTAAAATTTTTGTTGGTTGGAAGAAAAACAATATATTTTCGAAACTATCTATCTTTATTCGATCGAAGAGCCTTTAATCATTTTTCTCAACCGATATATTCATATTTTTATAAAACTTTTCAGAAAAAATTCCTCGAATGCTGCTTCGATTACAACTTCTCGAATATTTTATTTTTTAAAAACAACTGTAAATGACTAAAAATAAGCGATAATCGGTGAAATATCTTCTGAATGGATGAGTTGAGATTTCATATTTCGATTCAGTTAATTTTTGTAGAGCGTTGTTATATATATAGAAGAATAAATCTACGTTTATTGACTAATGAGGATTGTTTCTTAATCGATCTCTCGGCAGTAGGATGCTACCGTTACGTTATCTCCTCGTTTCAGAAAAGAACAATAAATTATTCTTGTACAACCACTATAACTTTTTTTCAGTCGTAACAACGGTTTCGCCATTCGTTTAGGATTTTCATTAGCGTTCAACCATTGTTCAGATCTCGCGCACGATCATCGTATAATATCCGTTTCTCATCACGAGGTTACGATTCCATTCAAAAATGACTTGTACCGTTTCGAGCTTTCCTTTTCCAATTTTTTCACTTCATCTGAAAACTGTCATTCGAGATACGTCCAACTCTGCTTCCACTTTGCCTTTCGATTTATCTTTGTTCAATATGGATTTCGATCTACCTCTGCCCTCATTCTCAAGATTCTCATTTCCAGATCTGAATTTTTGAAACCACCATCTAGACAGAATCTTCTCCCTTAACCTTAAAATATTTCGATATGGTTCAGGTGCACTGTGACCCTACGCTAGCTTAAACTCGTACAGAAATAATATTCTAAGTTCATTCGCCATATCGTTCAAAAAATGATTAATAAACTAATAAAAAAAAAGAACTTTAAGGAAATACAAGAGGACAACGTAAAGATATACCATAAGCAAAATATAGGTTAAGTAGAATTTACAACGATTGGTTGTCGTTCATTCTAAAATTGGCAACTTTATGTGATACGATATAATATATCAAACTTTTTTGTTTCGCCCTCGAAAAGTTTCATCGATTCTGTATAATCTATATACAGAATACAATATACATTACTTATAAACGATAATTCCAAATATATATATATATATATATCTGTTAAAATAAAAACACTTGACATTCCCTTCAAGAGGAACGATCGAATCTGTTCTCCTTATCCTTGAGAAATGAATCGATTTGTCAACGATGCAGGGATACGCACGCGGTTCCATCGAGGACGACAAAGGATGACAAAGACGGAAGGTGGAGAGGAGAAAAGGGAGAAAAAGAGAAAGAGTGGCCCGGATTCGTATTCGTATTCGTTCAACGAACCCTCGAATAAAACGAAATTAAACGCGAAAGCGACGGAGGGTAAGGATGATGCGCGGTTCGAAAGGGATGACAGAGAGGGGAGGGGATGAATGTTGAACGTTTGAACTCGATTCGACATCGGCGATCTCGTTTTCACGTCAGGTTTATTTTCGAGCGCTCGCTTAAGTAGCTCCGATTTTCCAGCTG